GCCGGGACAAGCAGTGCAGCGGACACATCCCCGCTTGCTGAAACTGGGGAGCACTTGAAGCACTTGCTGATGAAGAGCAGCCTGCAGGATGGACTACAAGTCAGTCTAAAGAAGACCCAATCGGTCACATCACGTAGATGGAGAGCAGGTTGAAGTTGTCAAGGATTTTGTCTCACTTGGATCCACAATCAATGTTCCTGGCAGTGGCAATCAAGTGATCAAAGGGCACATTGCATTAGACCAGTGGCTCTCAACCTGTGGCTCGTGACCCTTTGGGGGTTGAACGGCCCTTTCACAGGGGTTGCCCAATTCATAACAGTAGCAAAATTATGAAGCAGTAATGAAAATAATGGTATGGTTGGAGGGTCACCACAACATGAGGAACCATATTAAAGGGTCACGGCATTAGGAAGGTTGAGAACCACTGCATTAGCCAAAGCTGGTGCACAAGACCTCTTTAGAGTGCTGGAAAGCAAGAATATTACTCTGAGGACTTAGCTGTGCCTGCCTCAGGTGAGGGTTCTTTTAATGACCTCATATCCATTTGACAGTTGGGACATGAAATAAAGAAGGTTGAGGGAAAATGGATGCATTTGAACTGTGGTGTTGGTAAGGGATATTGAAAGTACCATGGACTGTCAAAAGAACAAACCCATCTGTCTTGGAAGAAGTAAGGCAGCAAGACTTTGTCTTCACCCTTTGGCCATGTTGTCAGGAGAGACCGTGCTTGATGAAGTAGAGGGGCAGGACAACGGCGGAAGGTCCCCAATGAGATGGATGCACACAGTGACTACAACAGTGGCCTTACACGTAGGAATAGTGAGGGTGATTCAAGACCGGGTGGTGTTCCCTTCTGTTGTGGATGGTGTCGCTGTGGGTCAGAACTGACCCCATCATAAACAAAAATAGAGATGGAAAAAGACCAACAGATAGATAGGAAGAGAGATAACACAGAGACATTGCAGAAGATAGAGACAGAAGGGCCTGGATTGGTGACAGAGAAGTGAGAGATGAAGTCACTCAGTCCTTTCTGAGGCCTGGCTGCGTCTCTGTCCTAGAGCACCGTCAGACCCCCACCTGTGTTAGACCAGTTGACCAGAAAAACAAATTCAGTGACACTGAATTTCATATATGTATAAGAAAGAAGCTTTATATCACGAAGTAATTATATATTAAGAAAGTGTCTCAGCCCAGACCAACTCCACTCCATAAGTTCCTCCCTTCAGACTTAGGCAGCCACATGCAATGATGCAGAATGCAGGAAGATCACAGGCCGGTGGCTGCAGTCGTGTGGATCTAAGGTCAGTGGAAAATATAGCAGGATTGGAGCAGCTCTCAGGGTGGCCAGCAAGCAGGAAGGTGAGTTCGGAAAGAGGACAGAGGGACCCTGATCTTTCCCAGGGTCCTCCTTATGAGAAGGCCACACCCTAAATGAAGCACCACCAGATTGACAGGTCTGATTCCACTCCTAGCAGGAGGGGAGAGTTGACATAACATCTCTCACTGCCACTGCACACCAGCCACACGTTCTGCAAGCCCCTCTTATGCTTGACAGGCTGGAGTTGGCCTCTGTTTCTGGCAAACTCCAAAGCTGGTAGCATTCATTCACATCTGCTCCACAGGTAGGAACAGGAAGAACACAGTTGCAAGGCGAGGAACAGCTGGTCCTGTTAGGGTCCTTGCCCAGTAGCTGGGCCTCCAGGTGGCCAAAGGGAGCCCCACAGACAAAGGGTTGTGCAAGCCGGCTGAGAGGCAGGATTTTTCACTCTGGGTAGCAGGAGTCCTGGGGAAACCAGGTTTGCTTAGCAAGGAGAACAAACTGGAGTGGAAAGATTAGTGACAGGGGCAGTTAGATACCATTATAGTTGTGTGCAGAAGCCTGTGAGTGTGTGGACCCCAAGTCCGAGGTGCTTGGCATGAAGAACAAGCAGATCTAAAGAAATCCACACTTTTTAACTCAGGCTGTAGCTGGGCCTGAAATCTTCATGGTTACACCGAAGAAGCCATGTGGCTTCTGGTCCAAGTTCAACTGCTCATAACACAAAAGGAGGAAGGGTGAAGTTTGTGTGTGTGGTGGTGGTGGTGGGGGTAATTGATTTTGCTTGTGATAGGATGGATACCTATAGGAAAGGTTTACGCAGCTTGTCCTAAGGAAAATGACTTTGGTCAACATGAGTGATGGAACAAGAACTGAGCCGAAATGGGGGTACCAAGTAGCAGCTTTATTGGGAAGCACAGCCTGCCAGACAACTCAGAGGATGAGGAGAGAGCGTAGTAGTCCAGACACACCGGAGTCACTCACATGTATATCCTTGGGGGTGGAGGCTGGCTGGGCGAAGATCCTGTAGCCCCCTGATTGGCAAGTTTGAATAAAGGGGTGACATGGCCTCTGACATGCATAAGAGGCTTTTGGCACATGTGAGCGCACACGCACGTGCGGGGAGAAGTGGGGGTGTGTGTGTGCAGGAAAACTGAGCCAGAAGCATGGGAAGGGGACATTAGTAATGGCCAGCCTCTGTTTATAATTTGCTGGGTCTACCAATGAGGCTTCAAAACAGAAGTGATGACGCCACGCAAAGACCAAGAACTGCGATTGTCCCATAACTCTGTAACCCAGATAGCTTTCTGTCCCCTCAAACTTCGTATGAGAATGGTTTCGCTGAGGTGTTTTCTCTGGCCGCCCTCTATTTCCTTGGCTCCGACCAGGGGTTACTCTGGGAGACATGGACTTTATCACTTAGGGAAGGTTACTTAAGGAGATGTAGAGTAACTTATTATCATCCTGGGGCAGCCCACAGGGTCAGGGTTTGGAAGGGGAGGTGGGGTGTGGGGGTGGTGAAACAGGCCCCAGGCAGTGTGTCTAGCTGCTAGTCCCTGGGAACTGCTCATCCACGGCCTGCACACAATTGCTGCCTACAATGGAACAGCCTTGGTGATAAGGTGTTCTGGATGGTCAGTTTTGGCCTTGAAAGGGAGGGGTATTTTGCTGGGAGGCCATGGATGGGACATGTGGGGGTGCTCACTTAGACTACATCACACTAGGAACTCTCTTATGGAGAAAGTAAGCAGCCATCCAAGAAATGAGCTGACCGTATGGCTGTCCCGACACTACTTTACCATACCAAACTGACTGCCATCGACTCATAGGGACCCCCTGTGACTTTCTGAGACTGTAACTGTTGACTGTAACTGGAGGAACCCGTCTTTCCCCCAAGGAGCCTCAGGTGGTTTCAGAGAAACGTGAGTACGTTTCTCGTGGGTACTTTGCCACGATCACAGAGGGAGCCCCACACAAACCGCAAGACAAGACAGTACAAGCCCGCAGGCAGAGGTTTCACAAGCAGGGTACGCTTCAATCATGCAGCGGGTAACCTCACCCTTTGAGGGCATTGGATTCCACAGGGGTCTGGTGACAGGACCCCATTGGCTCACCTCAGCCCCTATCCTCCCTGTTGAGATGTGAGTCCTCAGGACGTGACCAGTGGAAGGGATCATCTGAGGACACTTGGGGACTCATCCCGACAGGGGGCAGTGAGTTTGGTTTGGGTTGGGCATCTGGGCAGTGACAACAGTCAATTTTGGTTTGGGTTGGGCATCTGGGCTGTGACAACGGTCAAGGCTAGTGTCCAAGATTCTCACTAGCCCTCTCTGAGTCCAGAAAGGGGGCAGCTTTCTTGTTTCTTTTCCATTAAAAGTACCTCCAATGGGGACATACACGCACACACACACACACCATGGCTTCCATATTTGTCAATCCTGTTTCTTTTCCATTAAAAGTACCTCCAATGGGGACACACACACACACACACACACACCCTTCCATATTTGTCAATTTTTTCTTTAATCTTTAAAACACACACACACACACACCACCACCACCCCCTTCCATATTTGTCAATTTTTTTCTTTAATCTTTAACACAGACCTTCCTGGAGGCCACATTCCTCATTTGCACTGCTGTTTTCCTCCCTCTCTCTCTGAGAGATGGCAACAGTGGGTCGCAATCATCGGCGGCCAGGGTCTCCAGGACCCGAGGTCCAAGGTGGCGCCATGCCCACGGGCAACAGGCCAGCAGCAGCTCAGCACCTCTCCTAACACACCAGAGCGAGGGCGGCCGACGTCATCGCCTCGCGCCGCGCCCCTGACGTCCGCTGGGCGCCTCTGACGCCGAGACTAC